TTTTTTCCTTTGTGGATTTTTGCTTTAGATTTTGTGGAATTGTTTTCTGGGTTAAGTGTGGTTTTGTGAAAAACCCCCATTCTTGTGTGTGTAAATACGATCAATAGGTTAATGGGAAACTCCCTAGCTTCCAGTGGCTGTTGTTTTTTCACATTGCAATAGAAAGGGGCAAATGCAGCCAGTTGTATGAAAAAAGAAAAAAAAGACCCTCAGTGCCTGCAAAGGGGCTGGAAACCAATGATGTGCCCAGAACATAGTTGGAATGGAGGACTGAAAGGAGAAAAAGAAGGTCCCTAAATAATCTTTACTTTGCATAAAGATTCATAAAAGATGCTTGATTTTGGAGAAAGAGAAAACCCTGGAAGATCAAGTGTCCTAATTGTTGTGGGTGTTGTAGACAGGGCAGTAATGATTTATTGACACCAAGAGCCAGATCTTGTAAATGGTTCGCAGAACACTTTCATACAGATGCCTTATTGTGAGGCATTTCACAGATGGGGAAAGCAAGGTCAGGAGATGTACCTGGTCAAGCTATGCTCTTAATCCCAGCTCACTTGCCTCTATCACAGGGCCCTACCACAGCACCATATTCAATCCAAATATTTGCAAACACATTAGAAAAAACATTACTTGGGGTGGCTGGGTGGCTCAGTTGGTTGAGCGTTTGACTCTTGATTTTGGCTCAGGTCATGATCTTGGGGTGGTGGGATGGAGCCAATATCAGGCTCTGTGTTCAGTGGGGAGTCTGCTTGGGAGTTTCTCTCTTCTCCCTCTGCCCCTCCTTTTGCCCTCTTTCTCAAATAAATACATAAATCTTAAAAAAAAAAAAAAGAAAACATTACTTGACCATGACGTCATTATGGGACCAGGGCCATGGTCTTTGCCTCCTTTCTACCCTGCTCTTTGACTGCCCTTTCCCCCACCCCCACTGTCTCCAGGGTGGGGGAAAGAGAATGATACACAAGTCATCCATTCTTTAAATTTGGTACTCCTAATTGTGCATTTGTGATGATAAATGGTCAAGGGGCTGGTGTACAAGTGCAGAGCACTCTCTTCAATTCTAAAGGCAGCCTCTTCTAGCTGGAATGCAGCAGCAGGGCCTGAGCATGGGCAGGGGAAGAGATACAGACTTGGAAGGTTTACGGCCTCATGTTCATTTCCCGCTTCTGCCATCTTCCATCCATGGGAAATTGGGCACCTTACTTTGTCTCCCTATCTCAGCCTCAGTTTCCACTTTTATAAAAACAAAGCTAATACACATTTTGCTGTATTGCTATGAAGATTAAACTGGAGGGTCTATATGCAGTCCAATAAATTGTAACTGTTTTTATTTCTGGGCACTGTCCTTGGAGAACTACATGCTTCATTAACTGTTTGGAATATAATGAGAAAGAATCTTTGGCTATTCATTATACAGAGCTGGTCATTTACAGATAAACAGTCCTGTTACCACCAACACTCATGTCATTGGTCTATCTTTGGTTACATAATACAGCCAGTTGAATGAAATTAAATTATTCTGTGGCTGTAAGTTCTAACTAAATGTGATACATTTTAATCAGATGAATGAAGGGTTATGTGAGATTTTGCAAGAAAAGAGCTTATCCTTAGGAAGAAGTGGATAATTGGTAGTGATATTATTATTGCTAACTCAGGTATTACAGGGGTACCTGCCTCATGCTTTTATATACCTTAAAGTTTACTTCTCTGCTAGAGGGTGATACTCCCCTGAGTTCTAGGTCAAAATTAAACTCTCTGCAACTTTCATTTCTGTTTTAAAGCATTTTCACTCAGATCCTCTGCTTCAAGTCTCTCTTCCCTATGCACCTTGTCATGCTCAAGAAAATGCTTCTTGATGGCCAAGTTCCCCCTAGGTGCTAAGTCCTGGGTGGCTAATATTACCCCTTTCTGCTTCCTCAGAAGCCCCACAAATGTCCACCAGCCCCCCACCGGACTCCTCTCTGGCTGCTCCATCTTCTTATATTTCTGCCTTTAGTTTTGGAGTATCTTTTTACCCTTTTCCTTCTGACAGTCTTCTAGCCCATCCCTTACTTTAGTCAGCCAAATATTTTTTGTTTTGTTTTGTTTTATTTTATTTTTGAGAGAGGGTGCGAGTTGGGGGCAGGGAGGGAGGGAGAGAATCTTAAGGAGGCTCCAGCCCAGCATGGAGCCCATCTCTGGGCTCTCGATCTTAGGACCCTAAGATCATGACCTGAGTTGAAATCAAGAGTCAGACACTTAACGGACTGAGCCACCCAGGCACCCCGTCGGCCAAATCTTAAGTCACCAAACAAATATATGCATTATGGGATGCCAGTTTACATTTTGGTCACTTCTGCTGCAGGAGGCCCGGCTGTTCTTAAATCTGCACTGTTCTCCATGGCCATACATTATCAGTTATTTAAGGTATCTCCTTTTTGGCAATTCAGGCTCAAGAAATGTCTTTCCTGGCTTTTGATGGAATCCTCTTCCCCCGATACAGGCAGGAAGGACTGGGATATACCTGTGTGAGGGCTGCCTGGAGCTTTTCAGCTTTTCTAAATTGTAAGCAGTGTCACAAGGGTGGATACGCTCAATGCTATCAGCATGCCCTAGGTCTGGCACAGAGATTTGTGGGATCCTATTCAGTATGGGCATGTGAGGAGGCCTCACGGTGGAGGTCATATTTGAGTTGGACCTTGCACGTGAGAAGATTTGTGAGATGGCAGTGGGGCAGTGGAGGGGGGCTTTTGGCACTGGGGGCAATGGATATCCAGGACCAAGCCCACGGTATAGTAGATGGACAGGGAGGAGCACAGCCTTGGGGCAGAGGAATAGTAAGAGAGAAGTCAGGCAAGGTGAGGCATGTAGGGGACTGTGGGCGTCAGGCTGTCATTTCTGCCCCGAATTTATGTGAACGGGGAATCCATGGGAAAGTCTGGGTTTTAAAATATCTAGGGAGATGAGAACTGAGAACTGGAAGCTAGTGATTGGAATGTCTACCTGACCATCTGCCGTAGTCAAAGGAGTAAACACTCCAAAGAGAGGAAGGATGGAAAGCAGACTGAGAAAGACAAAGAGTGAGAGGGGAAGTAAAATTTATTATTTTAATTTGGTTTTCAGTGACCCAGGGAGAGACAGAATTTGATAATGATCAGAATCATGAGATCTTCTAGAAGAAAAGAATATAAGCCTAAGTAAGGAGGAGAGATGAAAGAGGCAAGAAGGACAGGGGCTGATCAGAGGGGATGATGAGAGAGGATGGTGTGGGGCTCCATGAGTGGAAAAGAAACAGAATGAGAGAGAGAGAGACTGGTAATGTGTGGGGTCCTGGTTCGAGGTTTTTCGGTATGAAGTCATAGGATGTCATCCCTTAATTTTGAGTATGAGGTCAATCTTTTTCCTTCACATAATAGTTAAAATAAGGTGAGGCTAGCAGCTCAGTAATCCATGTTTGTACCTTCTGCCTTCTGACCTCTCCCCTCACACCACAGTATAATACCTCCTCTGTGGCTATCTGCCCTGTGGCCAGGTCCTACCTGCCTTGTTTCCCTAAGCAGGTCTCAGTTGGTGATCTGCTGGACCTGCAGTACAAGTGACTTTCAGAGGTGCCTGGGTAGCTCAGTTGGTTAAGTGTCTGCTTTCGGCCCAGGTCATGATTCCAGAGTCCTGGGATTGAGTCCTGTTTCCAGCTACATACTGGGCGGGGAGCCTGCTTCTCCTTCTCCCTTTGTTGCTCCCCCTGCTTGTACTTTCTCTCTTCTCTCTCTCTCTCTCTCTCTCTCTGTTTGTGTCAAATAAATAAAATCTTTTAAAAAAGTGGCTTTCAAAATGCAGCAATTATTCCAATTCTACTCTGTTACCCATCTTCTATTTCTTTCCAAAAATGAAGATACATTAGTTGAATTGCTTTTCATAATTCAATTTCAAGTGCTGTATAGGTAGTGTCGTGAAAATTTATTTCCACCTACCTGCTCACAAGGTGCTCTTTTCAGAGTGGCAAACCTAACACTTCCTCACCAAACTCATATCTTTGGCCACTCCTTGGAGCCACTGGTTAGAATGGCCTTTTATTTTCTTTTTGCCCACCCTCTTTCTTTAAATACAAGTAGATCCCAGGATATCTAGAATGCAAAGTTCCTATGAGCACGTTTGAAATAATAATCTGTATTAAAAGCAGGGGTTTAACGTACTTCATCTTCAAGGGTGAAAAGATGTCACATTTATAATTGTATTTACATTGTGAGATTATTTTAATTATAACTTTATAATATTCTGGCATATGTTGTTTTTTAGGAGTGCATACTAGAACTTCTCAATGCAAAGCAAGAAAAGAGGTATTTATAATTGAATGGCAATATATATTTTCTGGCACTCACAGAGACTCCAACTTTTCTTTTCTTTTCTTTTTTAAAGATTTTATTTATTTATTTGACAGAGATCACAAGCAGGCAGAGAGGCAGGCAGAGAGAGAGGGGGGAAGCAGGCTCCCCGCTGAGCAGAGAGCCGGACACGGGGCTCGATCCCCAGGACCCTGGGATCATGACGTGAGCTGAAGGCAGTGACTTTAACCCACTGAGCCACCCAGGCGTCCTGAGACTCCAACTTTTCAAAGAAAAATTGAATTGAATTGAAAATGAAAGAAAATGAGCTCTCAGTCAACATTTTTGGCTAGAAGAAAATATTCACCATCCTACTTCCTTGCTTCCGTGTATGTACAGGCAAGAGCAAGTCAGAGGCACATACATATCCATGATTTCCTCCTTTGAAGACCATTATGCTAGTATCCCGAGCATGCCCTAAGAACAGATCCCTTTTCTTCATGCCCTGTACTTCCTTTGACTTGAGTATGAATTCTCCGATTTTCTCCCGTATGATCTAGCCCTCTCTGTCACAGGGCCGACTTCTCTTATTCACACCTTTTATTCTGAGCCAAGGCTGCAAGGGTCACCCCTGGTGCTGCAGGGAGCGCGGGTCAGTCCCTGCCCGGCCCTCACCGGCCAGTCCCCCGCCCGGCCTACCTGGAAGGCCCAGGATGGTGAAGTAGGGCCGGCACTCGGTGAACCCTGAGCTCTGCCTCACGCAGCTCCGCCAGAGCCCCTCGTACTGGAACACAGAGGTGACGGGGTTGTCATACAGGTCCTGGGTGCTCCACATGTCCATCCCCGTGGCGGCGATGCAGCCGGCCAGGCCCAGGAGGGACAGGAGGAAGCCCACCACTTGGCATGTGGTGGTGGACATGGCCTTAGCCCGCGCACCTTCCGACCACCTGCTCAGGACGAGCTGCGCCTTCCTCCTGAGCCGGGTGTGGGCGGGCGGGCAGTGCTCCTGAGCCTGGCTGCCCTAATCAGATGGTTTCCCTAAGCTCTTGGTGTTTGCTCACAGTGTTTTCCTTAGATTAGTTCAGTTTCACTCTTGGTTCAAGGGCATTATTTTTTCATTTGTTAGGGTAGCAGCCCCAAGAGGCACTTGTCCTGTCGAGCTGCGCAGGCCCAGCTGGTTTGAGAGCTGAGCCGTCCGAGTGGACACCTTGCGCAAAGGCCGTGCCAGCCTCTCCCGGGTCCCTGGCTCTGGCTCTGTCCCTTAAGCTCACTGGCACCCACCTGGGGAGAAAGTTGACGAGTCCAGCACCCCTACAAGCTTTTCCTTGAGGCTCTGCTCGTCACAGGAAACCACTTTGGCTGACCTCACTTAAAACAAAGGCCCTGAAGTCTGCGCCTTGAATCAGAACTCCACATTTTCTCCTCACAGCTCATAAACTACTTCCCATGCACATTTTTTCCATTTTGCTCTTACAGAAATGGGTAGAGTAGGTATTATTATCCCAACTCATATCTATTTTGAGGCAAGTGAAGTAGGAATAGATTGAAGAACTTGTTCAAGTGCCTTGGATCACACATGCATTAAAGTCAGCAAAGATGGAGCTCCAGTCCCCACTTCTGATCTGATATTCTTTCTCCATTTCTATGTGGAGTGGCAGAGGCAGGCAAGGTGTCCCCACTTTTGAGAACAGGAAGGCAAATCCTAGAGATTTGCTTTTGTTTTACAGGTATTGGAAATAGGAGAAGAAGCAAGATGTCCAGCTGACCTCCATGTCACACTTTCATTCACACCATGAGAACCACATGGAGACCACATGGCAGATTCAGAAGGTTCTAGAAAGGCCAGAGAAGGGCTCAGGGCTGGCTGGGCCCAAGTGCCTGATCTGGTTACTGAGAGCCCTGGGATCTGCTCCTGACACTGTCACTAACATGCTGTATGCTAGATGATTTTGGGCAAACTGCTCAACATCTGCAGGTCATGGTTTCTTTGTCTGTAACATTTGCATATTAAAGTAGAATACTTCAGTGCCCTTTCAGATCTCACACACTGTCTTCAACATTTTGCAGAAAAGTTTTCACTACAATTGGTCAAAATATCAGGAATTTCATAATCACAAAAAAGAGAGACCTGGCCAGAAATTAGCCATTGCATTTTGCCTACCCAGTTCGATTTTGTAAGAGAATTGACTGACCTGCTACTTTCTTGGGGTCATGTTTGTCTTGCCTCTGAATTCAGAACCATCTTTTTTTTTTTTTTTTTTTTTTTTTTTTAAAGTTGGTTCTACACCCAGCATGGAGTCAACATGGGGCTTGAACTCACGACCCTGAGATCAAAACCTGAGCTGAAACCAAGAGTCAGACACTTAACTGACTGAGCCACCCAGGCACCCCCAGAACCATTGTAATTACAGCTTCCCCAGCTCTGGATTTCCAGGCCTGGAAACACATCCAACATACCATCTCTAGCCTGTACAGGTTCTCCAGGAAACAAGCCTTTGCATCTGGACATTTCAGTGTTATCTTGAGTGCACCCAGCCACTGCTCCCATTCCTTTTTTCTCCCCAGCAAACACAGAAAGCAAATATGGACGGTCTCCCCCTAGTTTGAACAGACACCACACTCCGCTCAAGTGCTTACCTTGCTCTAGGTTCTGTGATCAGTGTAGAGAGTGAATCATGAGCCAGAAAACTCAAAAAAAGAGAGTAAGCAGGAGTTACATCCCTTTTGGTGAAACAGCATTGGTGTCTGTTTTCCCTGAACTGAGTTACAAGGCCAAGTATAAAAGGTGAGGAGGAAGCAACTAGAAAAAGGGCCTCTAGTATCTGCTGCTGGATGGGGCTTGACCAATTCGATTGGAAAGTACTGGAATAGTTCAAGAATGATTCTGCCACTGTTTCTATGGAGAAAGTCCATTTTGCTCTTGTTTCAACCAAGAAGCAGTATTTTTATTCATAAAGAGCTTGGTTTCCAGTTGTTCATTTTTTGACCTTTGTCTAACACCCACCCCATATCTTGACTTTAATGCCACTGAAATAGTAGATGGAAAATGAAAAAAAAAAAACAAAAGAAATAGGTTATTATAAGTTACCTATTCTCACTCATTGCTATTTCCCTCCCCCTTCCCTATGCAAATGCTTTAGGCAAAATTGTAAGACCTGGGGAAAAACATTATTCAGGTAATAATGAATTAGCTTTCTTTCTTGTTTGAAATGGTGACAGTGACTTCATTTTTTGGAAGAAGGAAAAGTTAATTTTAAAGGATAAACTAAAGCTACTTCTATCTAGTAGAATACTGAACGAATATAGAGAAAATGTAAGTCTCCATATTTTTTTTAAAAGATTTTATTTATTGGGGTGCCTGGGTGGCTCAGTGGATTAAAGCCTCTGCCTTCAGCTCAGGTCATGATCCCAGGGTCCTGGGATCGAGCCCTGCATCGGGCTCTCTTCTCAGCTGGAAGCCTGCTTCCTCCTCTCTCCTCTCTCTCTGCCTGCCTCTCTGTCTACTTATGATCTCTGTCTGTCAAATAAATAAATAAAATCTTAAAAAAAAAGATTTTATTTATTTATTTGACAGAGAGACAGATCACAAGCAGGCAGAGAGGCAGGCAGAGAGAGAGAGGGGGAAGCAGGCTCCCTGCTGAGCAGAGAGCCTGATATGGGACTCGAAACTAGGACCCTGGGATCATGACCTGAGCTGAAAGCAGAGGCTTTAACCCATTGAGCCACCCAGGCACCCCATCTCCATATTTTTTTAAAAAATGTAAGTCTATGTACTTTTTTAATGTGAAATAAATATTGATAGATTTTAAAACATCTGGAGGATGGAATCTGTCACTTCCTGGTGGCTATAAAATGAGTGGACCAGGGCTTTAAGGTTAACTGCTCAAGAGTGAATGGGGGTCCACAGAGGAAAATCTGGGTTCCTCGCTCATGGGAGAGGCTTTGTTAAAATACATTAAATGTATCTCTAATAATAATAACAACTCATGGTCTGATTATAATAACATGTAATAATAATAATTCATGGTCTGATTCTGTTTAACAATAATGGCGTTGGTATAACTTTGTTTAATAATCTTTAAAATGGAGCAAAATTTTTTGCTGATTTCTTCAGGGAAATCATCCCTATATTTAGGTTTAAATGTGGTCTGGTAGTGCCATTTTAGGTCGTAAATGTTCAGCAGTTCATATTATTTTACTGATATTGGAGAAAAAATTTCTCCCACCCTTTCCTTACATCATTTTAGGAATAATAATATGTAAAATGCCTTCTGTGGTAATTAGGAAAATATGGTGGTTGAATAGCAATATAAAATATCACAGCTAGGAATACGGGAGGAGTAAAACGAATATACTAGCAAGACAAATCACCGATATGTCTGTTAATTTCTTTTTTAAAAAATATTACCACACGGTATATCCCTAATTTCTGATTAGGGATTAGAATAGATCTTTTGGTGCTCATAATTGAAAATTAGGAAGTCAAGGAAATTTTACCAAATCACTCATAATTTTAAATACTAGGGAAAATATTTGGCTTATTTCCTTTTTATCCTTTCTCTGTATATGTATTTTCACATGATTAAGAGATTATATGACTTGATGTTTTGCTCTTTTAACTTAATTGCATACATAGACAATTAAAGCTTTTTGTAAACATCACTAAATATGTGTAATATTAAACATTTATTTCAATATGAGCAAATTAGTATTTTAGTACTAGCAGATTAATATTCTGTTACATAGAGGTGCTATTATTCACCTAAACAACACCTATTCTTATGTAGTTGGATTATACCCCTCCCCAAGTTGTGTGTGTGTGTGTGTGTGTGTGTGTGTGTGTGTGTGTGTGTGTGACAAACAACATTACGATGAACATCCTTGCAAAACTATTTGCCAGCATTTCTGATTAGTTAGAATAGATTCCTAGGAGTAGAATTAAGATGTCAAAGGGCGTGAAGTTTTTAAAAAATCTTTTTTATATAGAACCAGATTTTTTTCCTATGAATTTTATTCTAGCAGCAGTATTTGAAAGATCTTGTCTCATTGCACTCTTATCTAATTTGTGAATTTGGTAAGTTATACACAATCATTTGTTTTAATTTGCATTATTTTGATTACTAATGAGTTTGAAATTTTTTAAAAAACAAATGCTTATGAAAATCTATTTTTTTCCTTTTCCTGAATTGTTAGATTGTACTCCTTTCTCATTTATTTACTGGAATTTTAGGACTTTGCCTATTGATTTATTGAATAAATTATCTGTTTAAGATCTTAAATACCATTATTTATTTATTTATTTTTTTATTATGTTCAATTAGCCAACATATAGTACTGTTATAATTACTAAAAAGATATTTTCTCATTGATTATTTGCTTTTTAAATTTTTTCATGGTTTTACATATTCTATTTATTGCTTCATAGTACCTGGTGCATAATATGTGCTTAAAAAATATTTGCTGAATAATGTAGTTAGATGAGTTTACTTTTGTGTTTCCTCCATCATTTCTATGCTTAGCAGTTTATTTTCTATTTAGAGGAAGCAAACAATATTAGAATTATTTTAGAATTTTAGAAGATTTAAAAGTATTTTTTTGTTTTTACATTACTTAATCTGGAATCGAGTTTGGTATTTATGTTGGTTTTATTATAATTCTTTTTTCCCCTCAAAAAAGCTAATCAATAATTTCTGCAATTTCTTATTGAATAAGCTTTCCTCTCCCCATTGCTTTGTAAATCCTCTCTATGAAATTCACATATATGTCTTTTTAATTTTAGATTTTGTTCCATTTACCTTTCTGTCCATCTTTGGCCAAAACACAATTTTAATTACCACAACTTTAAAATTTGGCTAAATATCCACTGGAGTTAGCCCACTATTTTCATTTTATTCTGTAAGAAAACTATTAAAAGTTAATTTCCTCCGCCTCTTCTTATGGATAAACAACTTTGTCAAGTTCCTGAAGGAAAACTCTCGGTAGTATTTTGATTAGAATTCTTGGTATGTAGCCTAGGTTCTGGAGGAAGTCTGCCTGGGTTTGAATCTTCCCCTATCACTTACTATTACAGTATCATCAGGCAAATTCTTTAATTTTTCTGTGCTTCAGTTTCTTCA